TATGTGGAGAATCAAGGAACTAGGAGAGTCTTTTCATATGTGTGTAAGAGCTTGTGCATTTATCTTGGAACACCGCTAAGGCGGATTGCTAAAATTTATGAAAGGATGAAGAAAAAAACTAAGCTTAAATTAGGGAGGCTTACAAGTAGAATATGCTTAACTTCTGATGTTTGGACTTTTGGTACAACTGAGGATATATTTCTTTGACAGCTCATTATATAGATGAGGATTGGGAGTTACAAAATAAAATACTGAACTTTTGTCATATTCCTCCTCCACACTCAGGGTTTGTTTTGGCAGAAAATATCATGAATTTCTTGCAAGAGTAGGGAATTGAAAAGAAAATTTTCTCAATTAGTTTGGATAATGCAAGTATTAATGATAGGATGGAGGATATCTTGAGGAACCAGCTTTGTGTGCAGAATGTTTTGTTATGTAGAGGTGAATTTTTCCATGTGTGATGTTCTGCACATAATTTGATCTTATTGTTCAAGAAGGTTTAAAAGCTATTAATGTTGCTTTGAATAAGTCAGATAGTGTGAAATATATTAAAGCAACTGAGGCTAGAGAATCAAGTTTGGAGAACTTGTTGTACAAATGGGAGTGAAAAGCTCAATGGTTTGAGATTGGATGTTCACTAGATGGAATTTGACATTTTTAATGCTTGAAACGGCGTTATATTTCGTCCCGTATTTGTGGCTTTATCACATAGATCCTAGTTATAAATTTTGTCATCAAATGAAGAATAGGATAGGCGAGGATATGCAAGTTCTTGGACCATTTTATGATATTACGACTTTATTCTCGGGTTCTAAATATCCTACGCAAACTTGTACCTGAAATGTGTGTGGCAAATTCAATTGCATTTAATTGAAGAGAAGAGGAGTGAGGATGAAGTTGTTAGGACATGGCGGAACAAATGATCCCATTTTTCAAAATATTGGGATTCTTATAGTTTTGTGTTGAGATTGCAACTATTCTTGACCCCACTCTCAAGTTTCAGTTTGTGGAGTATGCTTTCAACAAAGTTTTATTCAACTACTGCCATACGGAAGTTGAGACGTTAAGAATAACTTGCAAAAGCCTTTTCAAGCTTATGAGGCTAAATGTTGTAAAGAGTTCCTGCCTCACCTTTAGTTGTTTCTCATGCGATAGTTCTACTTCTAGTAGGCGTGTAGATCATTCTTCTGTAAATCACTATACTTTTTAGTTTTTATATTTTTATGATAAATAAAGTATGTTTATTGTTTAATTTTAACTTTTGACACTTAGCTATTTAAATGATGCAGGATTTTGACAACTATGAGAGTGTTTTCATTTCCACTAAGAAATCCGAGTTAGATCTTTATTTGGAAGAGATGAGTTTGATCGCGTCAATATCAGAATTTGGATATCCTCGATCATTGGAAGAATAATTGTGATCGTTATCCGATACTTACCAGGATGGCTCGTGATTCATGGCAATACCAATAACATCCGTTGCCTCAGAGTCCGCTTTTAGTATTGGTAGTAAAGTACTTAACAATATCGAAGCTCACTTTGACCAAAAAATGCAAATCTTTGATATGCACTCGAACTTGGCTATATGGATATGAGTTTGAGTAACATGTTAACATAATATTTCTTATATTTTTATTATTTACATTTATTAATATTTGTAGTTGATCATTGTTTTGTAGATGAGGTGAAAGATGATTCAGATGATGATCTTGATGTGCCATTGACTGATCTCGAGACTGTGGAATCAGAGCACTCATCATGCCCTGGTGGGATGAACATTTGCTGTCCTAAAATGTTTTTTATGAATATTGATTATGTATTTGTTTATTTTATGGTATTATAGTTTATTGACTTATTTGTTTGTTTATGTGTAATTGTGTATTAGTGATTTTGTATTTGTTTATTTTGGTTGGTATTTGTTTTTGTATATAGTTTATTGTTTTGTTTGGGTTATTTGTTTATTTTGGTTCATATTTGTTTATATTCTTAATTGAATTGAATTTAGAGTATTGATTTAGGGGGTGTAAATGTAAAAATTAACATGTAGGAATTTTGGGGGTGTAATTGTCATAATTGAAAACTATTAGGGGTGAAACTGTAAAAACTAAAATCTGGAGAGAAAAAAAAACGAGTCCACCCGCGGGTCCACCTGTACCCGTATAGGGTAATGCACAGGTCCAAAATATTGGTCCCGTATCTATCGACCCGTATAAGGGCCCGTACCCGTTTGACCCGGCCTGTACCCAGCCCACCCACCCGTTTTGCCAGGTCTAGTAAGGAATATGGTTTCATATATTTGTTCTTTAAGGAACATAACAACGCTTCACAACATAATGAGGTCAATTTGCTATATAGGTAAGAAACTTCCACGATGGGCAAGCAACCGCATTGCCACCAATAGACAACATGGAATGTTGACCAGCCAACTGTTTGACCGACACTTGGGGTATGCTTCTCACATGCGTCCATGTAATTTTTAAATCGAAAACTTTTTGATAGTGTTGATAATTTCGATTATGACAGGAAACTGTGAACAAGATCTACACATGTTGACATATCGGATTTCAAGTGTCTCGATTCCATGTGGTTTTTCTTGTATTCCGTACGAGCTAATAGGCAGAAGGTTCTGAAATGGATTAAAAAAGAGGACATATTCTCTACGAAATATGCGTTCATTCCCATTGTATTATGGTTAGTTAATGTTTGCTGATTTTTATAAATGCAAGGTAATTTTCAATTCCATTGATGGGGGTGCTAATATTCTACATTTCTGTATATGCAAGGGTCACTGGAGTTTGCTGATCTTATGCAACTTTGGGGAAGTAGCGCGATCAGAACCCAACATAAGCTGCATGTTATTGTTGGACTCACTTCGGTCGACTAACCCAAGGAGGTTTCAGCCTCTGATAAGAAAGTAAGGTCTTCAAACAATTTTCAAGATCCTGCTCCACATTTTTCACTTGTGTTGGAGTCTATGGCCAATAATGCGGCTAATTTTATTTCCACAACTTGTTCCAGGTTTGCCCTCGATATCACTACTGCTGAAACAACGACGGAAAAGACTAACCGAGTGGCTGATATACCTCTCATAGTGCCTAATGTGTGTAGGTTACACCCCACAGGGGTCACATTTTGGATTTTTGTTGTCATTTGTGCGTATGCTCACTGACTTACTGAATGTTATGTGTGTCCAGGTGCCCAACAAAGGAACCAAACTGATTGTGGCTATTTTGTGCTTTATTATATATATAAGTTCCTCGAACATGCACCAGTGAAATTTTCCCTAACCGAAGGGTACCCGTACTTTGTAAGTGTTGCATTGTTCCATTGCCAGTCATAATTTTTTACATCATTTTCCATCAAGATACAACTGGTTATTTATTATGTTGTTGTGTAACTTGTGCCTCACCATAGATGAAAGAGGATTGGTTTGGGGAGGATGATGTCAAATCTTTTCGTGACAAACTGTTGTTGGACGTCGCATAGAGTGAGGCAGTGGTAAACATTTGCTATTGTAATTGCCGATTTAATATAATATGGACTATGTCACCATTGATCATGACGTACCATATCATGGTCATGAATTATATTTCCATCACTAACAAGTATGATTTCTTGACTTGTACAAGACTGCGAAAACAACACAAAAGGTTAAAGCTACGAGTAATGTGCATTCGGTTGCATTGTTTTATTGTAAATTATGTGTTTCCATAACTGTTGTACAAAAAGTAGTTCATGTGTTACAAAATATAGTTTGAAAACAATCTAACATTGTGATAAAGGCACAATTGAAAAATCAATGTTACAACATTTCTATTGAAATATCTATCACATACAAATGTTTTTTTTCAAACTGCTAAATTACAATAGTTTCATCAGATGTTTGGATGGTGGGATGTGTTTCGGTATGGGCTGAAGGGGGTGTGGATTATGGATTTTGCTTCTGTGTTTGGAGATTTTTGGTGGGACTGAGTGCATTTCAATGTCTGGTATGTTGTTGTGAGAGGAATGAGTTTTCTGTTGTTTCTGGGTTGTTGTTTTGTGTTCTCTTTAGTTGTAGTTTTTAGTTGTGCAGCAGGTTTTTTACTGCAGGATATGGTTTGCATGTTTGATGCATATGATGACGGTGTTATGGAGGAATGGGACATGATCGTATGGCGACTGGGCAGGGGTCTTTAGAGCCTACACTACATGTTTGCGCTGTAAGTTGTGTATGTTGGTTTAGCAGTTGGTGGGTCTTGCTATTGGGCTTGAGGTGGATGTCTGTTTCAGTTTGTAATGGTGTGTTTAGGGTGATGAATGCCAGTATTGCAGTGTACATTGTTGTTGCAGTGTACATTGTTGTTGCTGTGTACATTGTTGTTGCTGTGTTTGTTATGTGTATGTTTCAAATTTCTTTGTGCAGCTTAGGAAAAAAGGCTCATTGGTCATTTCCCACAAGACGATATTACTTTGTAAAAGAACTAGTTAACCAGAATAAAAAATGAAAATTGTTNAAAAAAAAAAAAAAGAGTTCAAGGAATAACGGATAAATAAAGAGAAAATCTGATACCTTTCGCGAAGAAGAGGTGGAGAGTAAATAAAGTAGCAACGATTGAAATCAATCTGTCCCCGAAAGGTTTCTACGCTAACCCTAGCGCTTTTGTACCAAAAGATCAGCTGATCAGGTCAAGTTCAACTCTTATGGGCCGCCCACCGACGTAGCCCAGCCCAATTCACTTCCTTAACAGCCCCTCCCTCTCCTCTATTATCACAATTTTAGACTTCAAAGATGCCTGCTTCTTATACACGATAACTTTAAGAATTCAATTTGATTTTGTTTTCTTTTTTAATGGTAATCTATTTTGTTTAGGTTCTTGTCTGTCAAGTTTTATGTTAAAAATATCGTTTGATCATAGAAATGCAAGCTTCGTTTGATCCGTCCTTGAATAAAAATGATGTATCCTCATAATAATAATAATAATAATAATAAATGACGTTGATTGCTGGCGACTTCTCAATATTCACACACAAAATTATATAAATAAATGAAAATCCTTTACAAGTCAACCCATTACAAGTAAATGTACAGAAGATCAAATGGGTGTGACAATCAATTTTCACAATGCTTTCTGAACAACTTTACTAAACTACACACTTCATTGACAGAACTCAAGAATCTGAAATCATTGTGCTTTATTTCTTTCTTGCATGGTATTAGAACATTGTAGTTCCAACAAAATGCAAACGGTGTATATTTTTCTTGGACAGAAGAGGGATCACAGTGCACTGCAAATTTTGGTGGCCAAATCAACTTAATCAATTCCTCTCCCACCCAAGAACAAAAATAAATTGATTGTTCATGTGATGGTGAAAAAGTTGGCTTACTCGTGAGGAACCAAAAAATCACATGCCCGGCCTCATTAAGTCTGGAGCCAAAGAAAGTCCAACTTGATATGACCGGTGTATCTTTGTCTTAGTGACGGTGACTTTTTCGGTAAGGTTGGCTATATCACCTTTCTTTGTGTTTATAATTGATTTCTCTATCACCGCTGACTCATCCGTTTCAGCTAGGAATTGGAGACCCTGAAATATTTTTATTGGACTCTGTCAAAGGAGAAAGAAAACAGGATTACAGTATAGAAAATGAACTCACATACCTTCACTGGTTCCTCCTGAAATGTTGCTGACGAAGTATTTGCTAGCTTCACTTTGACCTCCTGTCTTAATAAAGAAAGTAATCAGTAACTCAACATAGAATTAGAGATGCTGAATCCAAAACAATCTAAAAGCCCATCCTTCAGCACTAGGAGAAAGAAGATGAAATCAGGTTTTTGCATTAGAAGTGAAGGGGGTATAGGTGTTTATGGGGTGTGTAACAGGATTTGTCAAAGCATGCTATTTTTTGCAATGGAGAAACCCCTTTTGGCTCACTCATTATCCCGTTTTAGATACAAGGCATAGATAGACTATCTAACCTGAAAGGGTTTTGTATTTAGTGCATCTTTCAAGCTTCCAGCATAATGGCACAGATACAAGAGACCTGAGTTAGACATATCCTGTATTATGATGTTCAACAAAAGGATGAAAATATCAAACACTTCAAAAACAAATAAGTAATAGATTAATAAAGAAGGTACTCATTTCAGTTGCAAAATTACAAATATAACCTGTTTGCTTTCAAGAAGCTGAAGTTTTCCTTCCTGTTGAAATAATTGACAGACATCAGCAAGGTAATCTTTAAGGCTTACCCAATATTTGCAGGCCTTAGAATTATAGATAAAGAAATGCAACTCACCATCTCAGATACCATTTGATGAATCTTTTCAATGTCAAACCCAATTTCAGAAAGGTTTGACTTCATTGTGTTTACCTGCATGCAAGTAACATTGTAATCAAATATAACCATGGTTGCATATGTAGCTTGATGCAAGACATGCCCTCTGTATTATCGCCTCTTTTAAATGATTGCAATTTATGGTAGAGATGGTATAAAGGATGCTAATCGATGAAACATGGTATATATTTCATCACACCATCAATAGTTAATATCATCTTATTCAGATTAAAATATTCATGAAGGAAAATCTATACTTGATTAGACAGAATCTCCTATGTTTTAGTTACGTTAATATATGTATAACAGTATAAAGCTCGAAAGGATAAAAATGTTATGTACATCATTCGTAATTAGCTTAGATGTTTCCATCTGCTCCTCCAACTTCCAATCCACACTTTCGAGCCTCTTCGAAAGATTTCTCTTTGTTGACTGCACAAATAGTCTGTGTAATTAAAAGTACTCTGTAGGAAAGAAGTAATGACAAAGGCAAACCATTCCTACTTACAGCCACTGCTTCAGATACATGCTCTAACTGCTTTGATACGGTTGCAACAGCATTTACCATGTTATGCTTTGTGACAAACAATAAATCTGAAAATGACAATCCCTGCAAAGGAAACAGTTATTCAAAATTCACCAAAAAATCAGCAAAAACAACATGCTTACTAGTGCAACACCAAAAGCCATATGCTGGTAAATGCTTGGGCTTAGAGCCACGAGTGAAAATTTACCTTCCACCACATGTAACAGTATCCCATTGCTCCAAGGGCAGCAGCTGGCATTAGATAAGATGCATAACTCCCTGTGCGCAAAGGAAATATGTGAGATCTGTACAAATGTCATAATGTTCAGTGAAAACACCACAAATATAAATATTTCATACAAAAATTTAAACACAAGAAGATACAAAGATGACATTTCTATACTGGAGTGTGATGCAATTAAATCACTAAAGATTTTCTGGAGATTTATTTTATTTTTGTGTGTGTTTGAAGAGGAAGGAGAAGAGTGGGGGTGGGGGTGTTTGTGAAGCCCACTGAATTGAAAATACAATGAATAAATAAAACCTTATATTTGGTGAGTTGATATCTATACTAACAGCTCAAGGAGAAATGGTAGTTTATAATCTAAAAGGTGAATCTGTAGACCTGTTTCAGTAATACTACACAATCATGATAAAGCAAACATTTCTATTTTGGTCTTTGCTTAAATTTTATGCATACGAGTTCTTCAAATTTCTTTTCTTGTTTGCTCAAACAGTACATATTAACAGCTTATCAGTAATTGTTCACTTAATCAATTGTTTGACCATTCTCTTCAAATAAAGTCAACAATTCCAACTTCAGAATTTAATCTGTCCAATAACTTATGAACAAACTTGATGTACATACCACTAGACGAAGAATTCCCATTGAAGATGGTCACAGGACTGGATAAGGTTAACTCTTTGATCTCTTGTGACAACTGTTGAATCTGGGGTAAAGGCAGAAGAAAGCACATATATAGATAATACATTCATCGTTAGAGCCGTTTACTCAATAGAAATTAAGTTAAGAAAGGAAAGAATCCCAGCTAATGCAAAAGTTTTTTCATTGTTATGAATTTAGCTATTCAACATACAATTTTTTTTCCTTTCTAAATAAGATAATTTCTACAAAAGACAATGCTGCTAAGTAGTCTAAAGTAACTCCAGGTAAAGAACCTAGCTTGCAGCATCAATGGTCAGAAATCAACTAACAAACGATGGGATTTACATTTCCAATTCTTTTAGACTTAAGCACAAAAACCAACTATAACTAAGTTTTAGCTTCAAGTAAAGCTACCAATCTAACTGTAATAGTAAATCAGCCAGGTAGCTCACATACTTCAAAATTTTGATGAAATATCAATGTAAAAAGTTATATTTTATTTCTAAACCTGTTCTGATTTCTAGTCAGAGTATAAAGGATTCACAATACCTGAGCCAAAAGAAGTGCACTATCATATTTAAATGGTGAAATCTCAACTTCATTGACTCCCTTAAGCAATTCTTGAAGCTGGGCTATAAGCTCAGACAATCTTCCACTCCTCAAAACAATCGAACCAGTCAGACCTAAATCATTGCCCAACACTAAGCTCAACAAATAGCAAAATAACAAACAAACAACTATACATATAACAGGAAAAACTAGATACAACAAACTGATAGAGAGTTCAGCTTAAATGAACAGAAGTGTTTCTGTGATAACATCCTAAATTCAACATCAATTTCAACCGGTTTTTGCAAAAGCAAAACTATTTTAACCAAGACGGTAATAGTAATCGAAAAACTAATGAAGTTTTGTACAGAGAGGACCAGATGATGAGGAATCAAGAAGCAGACTGAAGAGATAAATTAAGCACTTAAAAAGATCGAATTTGAAGTATTCAATCTGATGGTGAATATAGAGAGACCTGCGCCAAGGAGGACGAGAACTTTGGAGGTTTGAACTCCAGCCTGCAACGCCATCTTTCTGCGTTGGAGGTTGAGCCGCCGTCGGTCGTCTTCTTCTAGGTTCTGCCGCAGAATAAAAGCTACCACTTGTATAAAATCTGTTTTTATTTGCTTGACCAAATTAATGTGAAAAGCATACTAGAAATTTCTAAAATACCCCTCCAGACAGTAAAAGGCTAAAAGCAAATGTAAATTTTGTATTGAGATGTCGATAATGTTGTACATGAATGTATATTTTGTGTTTGATAAATTATTATCATTGACTCCGAAAGAGAAATGTGTTTTATAATCAATTCTCTTACACAATGAATATTTTTTATATTTTCTTTTAATTCCTAAAACTAAAAAAGACCTGTAAATTAATAAATACATAAGATAATAATTTAACATAAAGTAAATATTATTTAAAACCACCCTTAGATGGTGGGATATTGTAATAGATCCTAAGTTCGATTTACTTCAGTTGTTAATAAGGATGTCCACTAGATGTTTACTCAGCTGTTAATTTCAAGATTCTAGAGATTAGTTGAAATATACACAAACTGGTCTGAATATCCCGATTACAAAAAAATATATATGTTTAATATATTAATTGATCACTAACATAAAGAATATACGTTCCATAAAATTTGATGAACTCAACTATTATTAGATTAATTTAAAAAACTTATTACAAGAAAATAGAATTTAACATCTCATACAATGTGAGAGATAGATATTAAAATTTGTATTTAATTAAAGAAATAATTGATGAAATCTCGTGCATTCTGATTATATCTCATTTGTTTTCTTCATGATCAAACTATTAGTCATCATGACAAACAATGAACAATCGGCCGCATGTGTAGGTTTAATTATCCATGATTATTAATTACAAAGCACTAATTAGTACAACAAAACAAAGCACTGATTAGTACAACGAAACAAATTATCAAAAAGTAACACCAAATTAACAAAACAAAATGATTAAGGACACTATTGTCTTTTCGAAAGGAAATGAAAAACAAACAGACAAATTGAGTTAACGTTACTCATTGACACCTAACACCCTCCATCTTCAAGACATTAAAAACTCAACCTCCATGCTCTGCAAAACAAAGAATTAAAAAAAAAAATGAGAACGCTCAAAACATCGGCAACGCTTTTTTTATTCTTCGTCGTCGCCTTACAAATCGAATCTCATGTCCACGCGACTGAAGAATCTTTCACATCGATAGTTATATCTCAAAACGGCGTCGATTTCGTTAAGGACTTACTAATAACAAAAGAAATTGCTTCAATAGTCCCGCTGAAGTTGCCCAAGATTGAGAAAACGGTTAAAATTCCGTTTGTGGGAAACGTTCGGATGGTTTTATCTAATATCACGATTTACCGGATAGATGTTTCGTCGTCTTATGTTAAGCCGGGAGAGTCGGGTGTTGTGATTGTTGCTTCTGGAACCACGTGTAATTTGAGCATGAATTGGTATTATGAGTACAGTACTTGGTTAGTTCCAGTTGAAATTTCTGATAAAGGGAGAGCTTCTGTTCAGGTATTCTGAAGAATTTAATTGGGTAGTTCATTTTATGTATTTAGGTGAAAATTAAGTTGCTGTTTATGTGTAACCTAGAATTATATCTAGTGGTCACCGAGGATTTTGATTGTTATAAATATTCCTTGGTTTGTATATTGTTAGAGTTTAAATAGTATTTTGGACCATAACTATCAATTTAAGCAATTATATCAAACCGTAATTTAACATGGTATCTAAACCATGCCAACTCTCACATACAATGGATGTGGTCTTAGGCACTAGATGGAATTTTTGTGATGAATTGTTATAATCATTATAGCACTTGTCTTGTGCGTGTTGAGATTTTTGTTGGACATGCTTTTGTAGTGGTGTAATTTAGAGAGTTAAAGTTGCCACACAGATATTAGAATGATTTGTCCTTGTATCTTATTTTCCCTTCAAAATGTGGAATTTGATGAATGCCGCTTGTGGTTAAGGTTGAAGGCATGGAAGTGGGACTTACCTTAGGCTTGGAGAACCAGTAAGGAACTTTGAAGCTTTCCCTGATGGACTGTGGCTGTCATGTCAAAGATATCTCCATAAAAGTGGATGGAGGAGCTTCTTGGCTCTATCAAGGGTAAGCAAAATTTATACTGGTTCATCTCATTTGTTTTAATTTTGGTATTCATTTTGTCTATCTTCTGCATGTTACACAGTGGAGGCAGGCAGTTTTCTCCCTCTGCATTATATGGCTAGATTGTTGTTTATGCAGCCTCTTTTCATGATAACTTATATTTTTGGGCTTTTTGAACATTAATCTCTGAAACTTCTACCTAGTCATTTTCTTTCATTTTTTTAACCCCACACCCATCCGCTTCTCTCCAAGCACAAACATCTTCTTTTAAAAGATAGGATTACTGTTTGATATGCTGCAATAAAATTCCTTTTTTTTTTTTTTTTTCCATTTTTCAGGATGATTGATGCATTTGAAGAACAGATAGGTTCTGCAGTGGAAAATGCTATCACCAAAAAACTTGAAGAAGGGATTTTAAAACTTGATTCATTTCTGCAATCTCTTCCAAAAGAAATTCCAGTAGATGATCATGCTTCCTTGAATGTAACCTTTGTGGACAGCCCTTTTGTGAGTAGTTCTTCTATTGGGTTTGACATCAATGGATTATTTACAGCAAGGGAGAAGGTTCCATCCCCCAAGTACTTCCACCAGAATTTGCAACCTTCAGTGTCATGTACAGATCAATCTAAAATGCTTGGAATTTCACTGGACGAGGCCGTATTTAACTCTGCATCAGCCTTATACTATGATGTATGTTTGAAAAGTGCTTTTTACTATAGCTGCTGAACTATGGTGTTTAATTTTCTCAAGTGATGAAATTATTGACAGTAATTACTTGAATTTAACAGGATATATGCTTTATATTCATGATAGTTACTGCAAAAGCGGGTTCATTCCTGAGTGTCTTAGGATGAAATCATTGAATCTGATGTGGGTATTAGATATGGTTTCAACTTATCAATAGATTGAATTAGGATATACTCCTGTAATGAATTTAATTGACTGACATTATGTGGTTCTAAGGGCCCTAACTCATGATTGTACCCATGAGTGAACTGGGTTGGATTTTTGGATGGTTAGAATCATGGCTACTTGATGTTGAAACATGTTCTGCATGTCCTTATTTTCTTATTTATGGTTTATATTTTTAATATGGAAGTTGTTTTTCCTTGTTAGGCAGAATTTATGCAGTGGACTGTGGATAAAGTGCCAGATCAATCTCTTTTAAACACTGCTGGATGGAAATACATTATTCCCCAGCTGTACAGGAAATACCCAAATGATGATATGATGTTGAATATCACTTTTTCTTCTCCTCCAGTCATAAGGGTTTCGGAGCATAATATTGATGCTTCAGTCAATGTAGACTTGATCATCGATGTGTTGGAAGAAGATGAAGCGATACCTGTTGCTTGCATTGCACTGGTAAGATTATTATTGATGGAAATGTGGCAAATTTGATTTTCTTGACACTTTGCTCCGGAATTTTCACATTTTTTTTACTTTTGTTTTCCTTTCCATTAGATTCTCTCTCTCTCTCTCTCTCTCTCTCTCTCTCTCTCTCTCTCTCTCTCTCGTTTGATGAATGATAACGCTCTATCTGGTTATGTTGGCTCAGGTTGTTCGTGGCTCAGGTTCTGTTAAAATCTCAGGTAATAACCTTGCTGGTAGTGTGAAATTGAATGACTTTACAATGTCACTGAAGTGGAGCAAAATTGGTAATCTGCGATTGTATCTCATTCAGGTAATCTTGTTTCACAATGTGTAACGAAGTTCATTGCTGAAAATCATTTAGTGCATGGTTACTAATTAGAAATCTTTTTTTTCTTCTTTTTTCTGGATTTAATGTAGCCGGTGATCTGGACTGTCATCCAAACTGTTTTCTTGCCTTATGTTAATTCACATCTTGGACAAGGCTTCCCCTTGCCCATCATTCATGGTTTCACCCTTAAGAATGCTGAAATTATATGCTCAAGTTCAAAGATTACCGTTTGCAGCGACGTGGCATATACGGAGTCTCTCAATCTCAATCAGCTTCTTGTTGGATTTTCATAGATCCACATACATGTCATATCCAAGACATCTGGAAATGCATACGGGAAAGGAAACAAAGTTTCAGTTTCCACCACCCTTTGTATAGTGTTGTTACACATTTAGGGTTTAGCTTTGACCGTTTCAGCTTTTGGATGTGTAAATTGTGATATAACTCTTTGTATGTTGAAGGTTTTACCATTTGCAAGGTAAGCATGGTTCAATCACATCTTCTTCAACAATATGAAAGTAGCCTGCCTTCAAATGTTTGCTATTTATTATTTATTTTTTTATAAATAAAAAAAAAAATTATTGGATGAGTAGGATTTGATTACGATCTGTTTATGCTTACATGAGACTTTATTGGTTTGGTTACTGCACATTTTTACAGTGGTTAGTGATGCATGCTTGTCAGTTAATACCATTTTCCCAATCTTTGTTGTTCATTTTAAATAAAAATTGAAATAATTTTTTTCATTATAGACTGATTTCTTGAATATGAATTTTCAAAATTGGTCATCTGTGCTAAAAGATATATCAAATATCTAACTCATCATTTTAAACACAGTAATATTACACATCCAACAAGATATCCCAAAATGATTTTTCATCTTATATAACATTGCTATAATTATATAAAATTGTTTAATATTCATCAAATCACTATCATACACTACCATCAACCAAAAATACTGAACCAAGAAGGTAAAACGCACCGTTTTGAGCCATGTTTCTCCCCTTTAAAACGCTCAGTTCCAGTTTTCTTCCCACTCACCCACTGTCCCGTTTTCCTAAATATCTGCTATAGATTAGACTTTAGCGGAAAACCTCTGTAAAACCCTTTAAGAATGCAACTTTCGCTTCCCATTTCACCCACGAAACTCCCCACAATTTTCCCATTTCACCACCCCAACATTTCAAAACCACCAACAACTTGTCTCCAATCCCATGTCAGTCCCGTAAATTCACTGAAAACGTCGGGGTATTTGTCGTCCATCAGCCGAGCCATCGATGAAGAAGAAGAGTATCGGAAAGCTCGGGCGGCTGTGACCCGGAAAGGCGTCGACTTGGAAGGCTATACCATTGAAGGACTTTCGATAGGTGGGCACGAAACGTGCGTGATAATACCGGAATTGAAGTGCGCTTTTGATATTGGGAGGTGCCCCAGTAGAGCTATTCAACAGAACTTTGTGTTTATCACTCATGCTCATCTTGACCATATTGTAAGCTCTTCAACTTAATTCTATACTTGTCTTTGAGAATTGGTAGCATAGAACAACCCCGGTAAGTGATAATGTAAAGTGTGATTTGTGGAATATGACCGTTTTAGCAGTGTAATGAACCTGCCATGATGTAACTTTGTATAGAATATTGTTGACTTGAAGTGTTTTAATGAATTTATGTTGTATCTATTGGCTCAGGGTGGGTTACCGATGTATGTAGCGAGTCGTGGTTTGTACAGCTTAAAGCCACCGACAATATTTGTGCCTCCTTGCATTAAAGATGATGTCGAAAAACTGTTTGACATTCACCGGTCCTTGGGGAATGTGGAACTAGACCTTGATCTGGTTGCGTTAGATGTGGGTATGTTGCCTTGGTTTATTAAGTTTGTGTTTGGCTGATTAGTTTTTATTGCTTTTTGATTGTTGAATATCCTTTACAATATTGACTTCAGGTGAAACTTATGAAATGCGGAATGATATTGTTGTCCGACCGTTTAAAACTCACCATGTCATACCAAGCCAGGTGGGTTGAGAATTGGACATAGATGTTTATCAGTATGAAATTTTTTGTAATATCGAGTGATTTGAAGCTTGGAAATGCCTACAGTCTAAAACATGAAGCTACATGCATTTGTTCAGGGTTATGTCATCTACTCTGTGAGAAAAAAACTTAAGAAGCAGTACATTCATCTGAAAGGGAAGCAAATTGAGAAGTTGAAGAAGTCTGGTGTTGCGGTTTGTCTCTTACAGCATAGTTGTTTTCTTAAATCTCTGTTACTAAGTATTCATTTATCTTTCAACTTTCCATAATAGATTACAGATATCATACTGTCTCCTGAGGTGGCCTTTACAGGAGATACCACGGCAGAGTATATGCTTAATCCACGCAATGCAGATGCATTGAGAGCAAAAGTTCTTATAACTGAGGTATAGACTAGGAATTCTTGTTTCTGTATTGCTTGTTAAAATTCTATATTTGAAATTTAGGTGAGCTTTTTTTATGGTATTTAGAGGTTACTTGCAAATTTTACTTGTCCAATGGTACCAAAATTCTTACTCCTAGTTCTGAGTTCTGAGTTGTTGGTCCCTGAATCATAGATGCATGGGACGTTCAGCAATATCAAGTCATGGTTCTTGCAATCAAGATTCACATATATTTCTCTAGTTTCTTTCTTCTTCTTTTTAATTTTTGTCATTATCTGGTAAATCGTCATGTCTGATGGTGAAGCTCTTCTAATAGGCAACTTTCTTGGACGAAGGCTGTAGCATCGAGCATGCACGACAACATGGTCATACTCATTTGTCAGAGGTACAAGAATTTTTTATTTTCTTTATTATATGGTATACCTTAAATAAGGATAATGGCCTTTGGAATTCTGTTGACTGGTGGAATTCTGAATTTGTTAAACTGCAGATTATTCAACATGCTGAGTGGATTCGGAATAAAGCAGTATTGTTAACTCATTTCTCCTCACGCTACCATGTAGAGGTGATTATTAGGTTTAATTGTTTTATGATGTTATATGAAAAGGTTGATATCAAATCCATCTATGTTGATAATGACAGGGATATCCCCATATGATACCCAATTATCTATATATATCGTGCGCCAACCCCTGAAATTGGTGTATCACATAATATTGAAACTTGTCTCAGCCATATAAACTTTTGAAAATAAAACATCTTTGGCAAAGGATGAACTTTAGTTCTTTCTTTTGTGGATGATTTTGAGTGGTTCTCTCTTAACTACTGCAGGACATCCGACAAGCTGTTCTGAAGTTGCAATCCAAGGTGTCAGCAAAAGTGGTCCCTCTAACTGAAGGTTTTAAGTCAATGTATGCTTAGCCATCCTGGAATCTTTTTATTCTCTTTCAGAATTGTAATCAGTTAGAATCTGAGAGGGGGAAGATGTGATCAATTTCTGTACAAATCTTTTTATTATTTTTTGTAATCACCCTCCTCCAGTCATAAGGGTTTCGGAGCATCATATTGATGCTTCAGTCAATGTAGACTTGATCATCGATGTGTTGGAAGAAGATGAAGCGATACCTGTTGCTTGCATTGCACTGGTAAGATTATTATTGATGGAAATGTGGCAAATTTGATTTTCTTGACACTTTGCTCCGGAATTTTCACATTTTTTTTACTTTTGTTTTCCTTTCCATTAGATTCTCTCTCTCTCTCTCTCTCTCTCTCTCTCTCTCTCTCTCTCTCTCTCTCGTTTGATGAATGATAACGCTCTATCTGGTTATGTTGGCTCAGGTTGTTCGTGGCTCAGGTTCTGTTAAAATCTCAGGTAATAACCTTGCTGGTAGTGTGAAATTGAATGACTTTACAATGTCACTGAAGTGGAGCAAAATTGGTAATCTGCGATTGTATCTCATTCAGGTAATCTTGTTTCACAATGTGTAACGAAGTTCATTGCTGAAAATCATTTAGTGCATGGTTACTAATTAGAAATCTTTTTTTTCTTCTTTTTTCTGGATTTAATGTAGCCGGTGATCTGGACTGTCATCCAAACTGTTTTCTTGCCTTATGTTAATTCACATCTTGGACAAGGCTTCCCCTTGCCCATCATTCATGGTTTCACCCTTAAGAATGCTGAAATTATATGCTCAAGTTCAAAGATTACCGTTTGCAGCGACGTGGCATATACGGAGTCTCTCAATCTCAATCAGCTTCTTGTTGGATTTTCATAGATCCACATACATGTCATATCCAAGACATCTGGAAATGCATACGGGAAAGGAAACAAAGTTTCAGTTTCCACCACCCTTTGTATAGTGTTGTTACACATTTAGGGTTTAGCTTTGACCGTTTCAGCTTTTGGATGTGTAAATTGTGATATAACTCTTTGTATGTTGAAGGTTTTACCATTTGCAAGGTAAGCATGGTTCAATCACATCTTCTTCAACAATATGAAAGTAGCCTGCCTTCAAATGTTTGCTATTTATTATTTATTTTTTTATAAATAAAAAAAAAAATTATTGGATGAGTAGGATTTGATTACGATCTGTTTATGCTTACATGAGACTTTATTGGTTTGGTTACTGCACATTTTTACAGTGGTTAGTGATGCATGCTTGTCAGTTAATACCATTTTCCCAATCTTTGTTGTTCATTTTAAATAAAAATTGAAATAATTTTTTTCATTATAGACTGATTTCTTGAATATGAATTTTCAAAATTGGTCATCTGTGCTAAAAGATATATCAAATATCTAACTCATCATTTTAAACACAGTAATATTACACATCCAACAAGATATCCCAAAATGATTTTTCATCTTATATAACATTGCTATAATTATATAAAATTGTTTAATATTCATCAAATCACTATCATACACTACCATCAACCAAAAATACTGAACCAAGAAGGTAAAACGCACCGTTTTGAGCCATGTTTCTCCCCTTTAAAACGCTCAGTTCCAGTTTTCTTCCCACTCACCCACTGTCCCGTTTTCCTAAATATCTGCTATAGATTAGACTTTAGCGGAAAACCTCTGTAAAACCCTTTAAGAATGCAACTTTCGCTTCCCATTTCACCCACGAAACTCCCCACAATTTTCCCATTTCACCACCCCAACATTTCAAAACCACCAACAACTTGTCTCCAATCCCATGTCAGTCCCGTAAATTCACTGAAAACGTCGGGGTATTTGTCGTCCATCAGCCGAGCCATCGATGAAGAAGAAGAGTATCGGAAAGCTCGGGCGGCTGTGACCCGGAAAGGCGTCGACTTGGAAGGCTATACCATTGAAGGACTTTCGATAGGTGGGCACGAAACGTGCGTGATAATACCGGAATTAAAGTGCGCTTTTGATATTGGGAGGTGCCCCAGTAGAGCTATTCAACAGAACTTTGTGTTTATCACTCATGCTCATCTTGACCATATTGTAAGCTCTTCAACTTAATTCTATACTTGTCTTTGAGAATTGGTAGCATAGAACAACCCCGGTAAGTGATAATGTAAAGTGTGATTTGTGGAATATGACCGTTTTAGCAGTGTAATGAACCTGCCATGATGTAACTTTGTATAGAATATTGTTGACTTGAAGTGTTTTAATGAATTTATGTTGTATCTAT